AGGTGGCTGATCCATCTGCTTCAGGTAGTTCTGAAGAAGCCACGACACCAGCATGCCGGCATTCTCGCGCACGCTGCGCACCTTCACTCCCGGGAAACCTGCGATCCCCGATCTCCACAAATCCGAGTTCAAGTTCCATCGCCTCACACTCAGACTTGCCGGGAACCGAACCGCTTTTAGCCTTGAGCCTTGCCCTTGACACCCTTCTCTGCCCGGGGAGCACCACCGTCACGGGCGTCATGCCCGAGTTGAAAGCCACCAGCTCCTGCAAGAGAAAACAGCGCTAAGGGCTGCACCAAGGTTTATGGTGTGACCGTCATCAGCTGTTCAGAGACACAGGTGAACAAACACACTTCTTCAAGTTACAGCAAGGATGAGGGCTCGTAAACTGTGTATCGCATGGAAGACACGCAGCTACATACGAATAAATGATCACCAGGGTTATCGTTGAGGGCTTTGCTCCGCTTGGGGAGCAAGGATCAATTATGTACAATACGAGCTGTAAACTAAGGTTCCCATATTAGAGGGTTCACTCCTTGAAGATCAGCTTGATGGCCCCATTCGGATCGCCATTTTCCATGAGCCTTTGCCCCAGGTGGCCATAGTAGTTGGAACAGCCCCACCTGCCGCAAGAGGCAGGCAGAAGAGAGTTGGAAACAAAACGAGCCGTTTTCCTCTTTGTCTTCGTTGAGTTCTCTCTGGCACCTGTAGCGGACGTACTGACTAGCACTAACTAACAACTCTAATGACTTATAGGACAGGTCCGGTCATGACGCTTGCCAGACTGCACCTGCAATAGCCAAATCCTAACTTTCTGCACGTTTCTAAACGATAACCCGAGACACTGCACAGCCAAGGCCAGCTGTTGCCCCACGGCGACCGCGCTTGGGGCCTGGAAACAGATCCGGGGTTTGATTCAGATTCGGAATGTCAAACGTGGGTATAACGGTATAGGTATCAAAGAATCGTACTACTCCGTGAAGCTCTGAGTGCAGAGCTTTGGGTTCCGGGATCAGCTGTTGGCACGTAGCAGTGAGTGACCAAGGCTTACCTTTCAGAGTGTTCTGGAACCCCAAACCTGCCTTGCGAACATCTAACGAACCCGCCTTCAAGCAAAAGGTCTTGCCGCTAGCAGCCGTGTATATGCTCCGTAAAGGCTCTTCTCGGTTTAGCCATGCTTCGTTAACAGCCTTGAACTGTGGCTTTCCAGTTAGAGCCGAGCAGCTGCAAGCAACTCTGTGAGCTTTCTAATATGGCCCATCCGGGCTGCCCGACCCCAGAAGCGGCATTGGCTTGTAAAACTACGAGAAGCAATGAATCAAGGCAAAACCGAACACTGGCAACACATCATGAATACCATGAATACACCGCATGCGGGAGCATCGGAACATGGAAGAGCTAAATCAGGCCCTTTCAGCGGCAACATCCCACGTCTTAGTGGAGTCTGAAATTCTAGCCAGCCCCTGGCCTCGAAACCCTCAAAACGCTACATGTTATATATATATATATATATATATATATATATATACATATATATATATATATATATATATATATATATATATATATATATATATATATACGTCTAAGCAAAACCCCAATGCAAAAAAACAACATTAGAAACGTTGTCCTAACCTCGAGATCTCTGGAAGAGGTTGTTGGGGCAGAGCCGGCGTGGCCCAAGACCGCCTGCAGAACCACCTGTAGCTTTGCTTCGGCGTCTCACACGGGATCAGGATTGGGCATAATACTCAAGAAACTGAAACTTGCGATGCTGATGCTCTCAGAACCGCAAACTGTGAAACCCGAGCATTCTTTCAGTATCTATGTTCATGAAGAGGTCTAGGTTGGTTGCGGGATCTGTGGGGCCCGAGGGCTGCTCAGGTGTGAAACAAGGACGGTTGTGCTATGCGGGGGAGTGCACTAGAGTACAATGGGAGCATTCAACGAGTATTGAATCACGCCCACGTGTCCTCGCTTTTTTAGGCAAGCTGGTCGCCTTCGAAGCATGCTTATCAGGCTCAAGTGATGTCGACAAATAATACACAGCAGCCTTCCAAGACAAGGCCAAAAGTGAGAACTTCGGAGGTCCATTTAGGATGTAATCATTAGCGATGAAATGCGCGCCGACCAAAACCCTGTGCGATTCACTATTGCTCCTGCTTCAAGGGTTTCAAAAGGTTGCAGTGCAAGCATTGACCGGTCTAAGGTTGGGTACTTCCACCGAACTGCGGCTCTAAAGGCGCTCAGGGATTTGATCGGTGTAAGGCCATCAGAGAAGCGTAAGCTTGCTTTGTGAGGACAAACGGCTTCTTCGAAGCGGTCGTTGATAGAGTAGATCACCACCATGTCACTCTGCACGATGGCTTCCTGAAGGACTACATGACTACATCCGCAGACATGCAAGGCGAACTTGTAGGGGCACCACAAAGCAGACGATTGAGGCCGTGGTTTCAGGGACGAGTTAATGGTATGGCCTTAGGGGATGACGGTTCTGAGAGCTCAGTCTCCTGTACTCTGCTTGTGGAGTGACCAGCCAGGCTCCGAAAAAATCAAACAAGTCTGCTGAAGCGCGTCGTCCTGAGCTGTAAAGTTCAGGACGCCAATGCCTACCCTCAAGTCGTGTCCATTTTTGAAAGGCTAGATTGGGGGTGTCAACAAGAACGTGTCTGGGCTTGGGCATCACATATGACCTGCATGTCCAAGGACAGCAGGCTAGCTTGACCCGAGTGGCGAAATGCTCGATGTCTTGTGTCGTCAAGGTGTCCTGCGGCATGAACTCCTTGACGGCTTCATGCCTCAGTGTTTCCGTGGTTCTTGGCCTGGTGATGCCTAGCGGAACCTCAAACATGCAAAGCTAAAGCACGGCCTCCTGAGCCGAATAAGACCAAGCGAAGGTAGCCAAGAAGTGAACGCGAGGGCCGGTGAGGTCATTGGAAGTGCGACTGGCTAGTCGGCTAGTTTCGTGGTGACCAGCTTACCATAACTCACTGCTACTTCTGTCTGTCGCTCTGCGCACAAGGTCATAAGCTAAGCTGACCTCAGCTCTATCTGGATCCCGAAAGCAAAGCCGAGTTTCAAGGTTTCTTGCAGGTGACTTCGGAAGGAGTTCTCGTCTTCGTCGTCCACACCTGGCTAGTGCAAACACAGGCAACTACAGCCCTGAAAGCTGTCAGCGATTCGGCTCCTAGCTTTCACACGAAAGACTCACAAAGGAACTGCGCACAAGGAAGGCCAAGCAGAAGAAAGCCAAGATGCTGCAGGGCTCTTCCAAGACACGGCAAATGACATCGGCGAGGCGTCCAGTTCCGCGGCATACCACCAACGGACAGCCGGTTTGAATAGCCTGATCATGAATGCGATCTGGCCTTCCTACGTGGAGCCCTGCTGCTGAACTATAACAAACGGTGCTTGATCGCAGTGAGACAACAGCTAAATCCGATCTGCACATCGAAGACGACAATTCGAGCTCAAAACGGCCATGCGTTGGAAACCACTAAGGCAGCCTGGACCAGCGATTCCAAAGAGATCTTGCCACCATTCAGAAGGATCATCACGCGCGGCACGCGAACCTGCAAACTCCCCTCGACGTCATTGAACTCGCCCTTGGCGACATGATCCTCGAAACGCGTCCGGAACGGAATCTCCGTTCCAAACGTCTCGCTGCCAACCTTACCATTGTCGCAGATGATGAAGTGCGAATGGTTTTCTTGAAGGGCTGCCAGCGGCTTATCGTCCACTGCCGCCCCTTCTGGCTTTGCCTCTGCAGCATCCATCCTCCTCGGCTTTGCAGGGCGACTGCCTTTCAGAACAACCAAACAGAACTGCAAAGGCCCAACTTGCAAACGTTGCCATTCCGAGCGTCTTGGGGTTTGCTGGGCAGCTTTCCTCAAAAGCAGCCTCTGAGCAAATCAGGTCACGCCAGCCTCGTTTCAGAGCGCCGTAGGGGGTGATGCCCAGGCATGGTACCTTGCGTTCCTTGTCGTGCTTCCGCATAGCCTTGCCAACGATTTCCATTACTCCGCTGGCAGTCCCACCTGCAGGGAACAGAGAGGATCCCACACCACTGTCACTACACCAAACATGCTTACATGCACAATCTGTTCTCTCGCTACTCTCTCTCTCTCTCTCTTCTTCTTCTTCTTCTTCTTCATCTCTTCATCTCTTCCTCTCTCTCTCTCTCTCTCTCTCTCTCTCTCTCTCTCTCTCTCTCTCTCTCTCTCTCTCTCTCTTGTTTGCAATCGGACTAAGGAGCTCGCAAGCACCCCTCGCGCCTTCTCTCTCTCTCTCTCACCATAACATCGTTAACTCTAGCTCGTGCTTACGCGTACTTGATGTGCTCTACTTGATGCTAGACATCAGGCCCTTTGTGAGTGTTAGGCGGCACCCTGCAGACGTGTGTTTCATAGGCTGGCCTTCGGATGGTTGTGGACGCATGTAAATGACTTGTTCAATTTTAAATGTGCGTGTTGACTTGAAAGTACAGTTGTGTGTGTGTGTGTGTGTGCGTATGCAGAACTGCAAGTACCGAAAGATCTACCTGAAGAAAGGTCCAAGCTATCACCCTAGAACTAAAGCTTACGGTATCCAGGGTTATCCTTGCTCATAAGTCTTTTCGAGTATTGTGAATCCAGACTTCGAAAACGTTGCATAGTCGCATTCTGCGGGATACCATGCATCAGGAATTGCGTACTGCAGCTGGAAACACTAGAACTGAACACAAGACAGTTTTGCAACACCTGAGCATCTCGCGGTTTGACATGTACATGCAACATTTCTTAAGCCTCAACCATTAACCCCCCCACCACCACCACCACCACCACCACCACCACCACCACCACCACCACCACCACCACCACCACCACCACCACCACCACCACCACCACCAATTTCCGCGTTTAGGGTCTTAAGGCGCTGCTGGCTCGAACACAACTGCACCACTTTGTTGCTGACTGTCTCGAACAACTATATGCCTTAAGTAGGAGGAGACGGCTAGCTGCGGCTAGCCAAGCGGCAAGTACATGCACGCTGTGGTACAAGCATGCTGACGTTACCGTTCCATCTAAATAGAAATTCTACGTGTCAAGGTCTTTCTGCGCAGACATTCGGCATTGCTTGCTATAGCTCTGCGCTTGTATTCTGATTCTTTTTCGATCATTGTGAAACCCGCGCACAAGGCAGGAAGTTTGGCGGGTATTGTGGGGCAGCTGGTGGCTGGACACACAAGTCACTCCTGTCACTCAGAATCGAGACCAAGTTGATGGGTTTGCCAGGTGGTTTGACGGGGAAGTACAGCCTATCAGCCCGAATTGAGGTGAATTTGCTGTGGTTGTTGGAGAAGCTGGCATTCTCATCACGAAGAAGCCGAGCTGGTCAGCCAGGATTTGAATCGAATTGTCGGTGTTAATCCGATCCTGCTGCCAGGTTTGGCTTCTTTGTAAAACTGCCAGAAGCTCTTACACCAACCTGTGGAAAGTTCGCTCAAGTCTGACGTTTGCCGGTGCTGGACATTGCATGCAAAGGTTTGCACATCGTTTTGGAGGCTTGCAATCGCGAGGAAGCGACAACCTCTCCCATGCCCCCCCTCCCTATGCCCGTGATACGCACGAACAAACCAAACAATGCAGCCGAATTCATGCACAACTGGGCATGTTCGTGTATGGATATACATATGTTTCTTATTTACACATGTGTATACATACATACATGATACAGACATACATACAATAGAAATATATACACATACGATATGACATGATATGTATTTACGTATGCATGGATGAACGAAGGGACGGATGGATGGACGGATAGATGGATGCATGGAGGGATGGAGGGAGTGGTGGGCGGGTGGATGGATAGATGGATGGATGCACGCATGGATAAGGGCTTCTCGGAGTGAAATGCGCGCATCTAGACTAGCATCGAAGCTCTGGCTACATGTGAACCAACAGGGCATGGAATGGTCACCATGTTGCCGAAACGTACTGCCCTAGCCCAAACCCGAGACTCTGCAAAACCGAGCATCCCTTGACCTGCGAAAACGTGGAAGTTACAGCCTGTGATCACCCAGGCGGAGGTTCGCGTTGCCGCTTCCACCAAGCCTTTTGAAAAGCCGTCGATGTCAAACTGGTTCCTGATTCTTGAGACTTGGGGATGGAAAGGGTTTCAGGTCGTGTCGTGTCCGAGGCTCCGGATCTCGAAGTGCCTCACTCACACGTGCATTACACATCAGCTTATTTCGGATTGGCGGGAAAATCGTTACACATGGATGTTGACAACCCTCACCCTGAAAAGGCAGGAATACATCTAAATGGACGTAGCGCGGCTCCCGAAGTCCAGACTCGGGACAAGAGCCTTCAAACCGACTGCAACTCTGAACCTTTAGATGCATTGGTCTGCAAAAGCCAAGGTTCGGGGGCAGGACCATGTTCCCGGCGCCGCCCATGATCGACAGGATGAGATTCGGATTTCGCAACCCCCAGGGTTCCTGGCAGTCAAGCCCTAAAAACTTCAAGTCTCAGGGCTCAGGGATCGGGACAAACATGTAATTTGCAGATTACGTCTTAGGACATGCTATCTTGATGAGGCCAGGTCAGCAGTGCCATGTGTTCTTTCTCTGTCGTAGTTGTATCATGCGAGTCAACAGCAGCACCAGCAGCGGCAGCGGTAGATAACCACTACTGCTGCTGCTGCTGCTGCTACCCACGCTACGTTACCACCAGGACTACCACCACTAACTGCCACTACCACTACAACTACTGCTCCTCCTACTACTACTAATTACTACTACTACTACTACTACTACTACTACTACTACTACTACTACTACTATTATTACTACTACTACTTCTACTTCTACTTCTACTTCTACTTCTACTTCTACTTCTACTCCTCCTCCTGCTGCTGCTACTGCTGCTGCTACACTACCGGTCGCCATCACACCCCAACCGCTACCCTCAGATTCATTTTGCAGTTGTTGGCGCTGCTGACATTCAGGGCGTATCTCTCTTGCACAACCGATTGTTGGAATTCCTCCAACGGTCTTGATTGTCAAGGGGGCGCCAGAGCCCAAAGATTGATGTCGGCAAGTCATCCCACTGACCGAAATTGAAAGCGTTTGAATTCCACAACCTTCAGCTGGGAAGGCCTTGAGGGCAACGGTCCTTAGTAGATCCTCGGGGTCCGCCGTGTGAGAGATCAGGCAGTACCTCGGCTTGCAATAAGCGACCAAACGCTACGCTACACCTCTCAGGCACAACAGAACTAAAGAGAACAGTCATCATCGTGACATCCGTGATGCCATGGTCGCCTGTTTTGTTCTCATGTGACAAGGTCGTGAAAAAATCTTCGGGGGCATCTCAACTTCCTTCTTACGGCCTGGGATAGCTTTGGCGAGAATCGTCCATAGCCGCTACCTACTACAGCGAGTATTTAGCATGGCCTGATCAATCCGGAAACCGCTTCCATCTGCGCAGGCTCGGCGTGCAAATCCATGTATCTATCTATGGTCTGTCTGTCCGTCTATCTGTTTTGACAATAAACCCTATAAGGATTGACGCCTTCTGCTGGCTGCGGCTGGAGGGTCTGAGAAGTTCGGGTGTCGAAGGACAGCTCCGCTAAGCCGTGCCTGCAGCGTCCAGGCGGCCTGACGGTGTTCTTGGCATTTTGTGCTTTGGAAAACTCCAGCGGTTACAAGAAGGCCTTTAGGAACTTAATTCTGCAGAGTGCCGGCTTTCACAAACGGACCTCCGAACCCTGAAATGCCGCAAATATCGCCTCGAAATTGGCTACATCAACAAGATTCACCAGCCATAACCCATCCTAAACGCAAAGCCCACCACCCCTCAACGGCAAAACCTCAACCCCCAAAGCCCCTGAGCCACAAATCTTAAACCCCAAGCTGGAGTTTCAGCCTCAACGATCTCTCTGTATCGTGGCCGTTTGCAGCATCCAATTCCCCGGACTGTTGCCGGACGTCGTCGCTCATGCCACGCCTACTTTGGGGCTTTCGGGTTTGGGAGCTGCGCTCGGCTTGGGGTGAAGGCCTAGGGATGCGAGTGACGAGGTAAAGAGGCGTCTTTGGTCTCAGAGTCTCTGGAACGTGCTAGGGAAAGGTTTGCGGACAATGCATGCCGGACTGGAAAGACATGTGGTTTCGACGACTCCAAGACCCTTCAAGTCTTCGGACCAGGACCATCCAGTTCGCGGCATAGCGACGCAAAGGGCGACGGACAACTAGCAAAAAGCCATGTTGCAACAATGTGCTTGGCGTGGTGTTCACTTGACACGCTCTGTCCATGTGCTTGCGCCAACGTCTCTGTTCGGCATCGTGTCGAAAGCCACCTCTTAGTCATTGTGCGGAAAAGCGTCCTGCCTTTCTCCTCCCTATGTTTACCAAAAACCCCTTCACAGGCTGCCCCAAGAGAGGTTGAATGTCACACCCCGGCGACTTCGCGACTGCCTTGCACCTAGCCGAGCGAGATCGCTGGCACAAGTATCCATGCAAAAGTTGCCCTCGAAGCGAAACAAATCATCAGATGGTTACGTTGTGGAGACTGCTGCCTCGCCTCAGCGTCTTCGTGAAGGCACTGGTGGCGCGGTTTCTCCATTTCCGCAAGATGCTATCGAAGCCGTGGCGTTGCAGCAGCTCCGCCATCGCCTCGTCGCTCACGGCCATGGACAAGCCAGGAAGTATCTAACTCAATACGAATCCTACAAACGTGCGCTGTGAGCCACAAACTGCAGGGGTTCATAATTGGGCTTAAGGTTTTGTTTGGGCGTGTCGTCAAAGAGCAAATCACGCAACCGGAACCTCTACACCCCGGAACAGGGATCCTGGAAAAGGAAGCTCCGAAGTCTTGACCCGTGTAACCCTTCCGAGGCAGGAAGCTATGAAACCTATCCTCACGACCCTGGGGCCTGAAGTCTGGATCCTATGCCAACGAAGCACCAGGAATCTTGCGGGTTTCAGATTTGGGGTAGTGAACGGCTTTCACTGCTGTGTTGTGATTTCCCAGGGGCTGGGGTGGAGACTGTCAGGGCAGCATGATGGGATGTGGGCTTCGCATGGCGCTTAACAATCATGCCAATGCGGAAGACAACCAATCACCAACAGAGCTGACCGAAATCGAACGGAAAGGCCGAACTATGAAGGCGCTGAGCGAGGTAGCTATCGTTGCAAAGGCCGGCACCTGATCTTCAAGCCCCTACTCGTACTGCTCAAAACGAGCGTGAACGCGGCGTCAACCCTGCGTGGATGCCATGCCCGCGGCGTGAGAAATGAAGGCGTATCGGATGCCCTCACCTCAGCGGTAAAGTCTAAGCGACATGGCTCTGTCAGAAGGAAACCTGCGACATACGATAAGTTGCCAGTTTCTGCCACCCACATCGCATGAGTGGAATGCAACACCCCAGAAACTTCTCCGAAATCCTGCGCCCTAGACGCCGGATAACTAAGTTAAGAGCCAGGACAACAACAATTATGTTAATGCTCGGTTATTGGGTTGGGTGACGGCTCCACACTCGACCTTGAAGAGAACGGTAGGAATTTGGGTGACTTATACCTTGAGCGAAGACTTGTGCGAGGCGGAGATTCGATACCGACTGCCATGAGCTTACATGATGAAAAACATGCTGTCTGCACACGGAGATGCTGTTCAGCAGGGTTCCTAATTCTCAAACCGGAAACGATTGGGCAAAACACGCAGTTAAAGTCATTGAACACATTGTCGGGTTTGTGACAGGCCTGCCATGGCTTCTGTGCAAGACACACTTCGCAGTTCCATCTAGCCGAACACCTTGTCTGTGAAATGCAAATCATCTCAGGCGTGAGCAGTCCTTAAACTCTTCGATGGCATCTGACAAAGCCTTCGGCACGTGCGACATCCCTAAGTCCAAGCCAATCACCCTGAGGCCAAGTCGCCTGCGACCCCCTCAAATGTAGAGCCTGAGAAACCAGCAGCGTACAATACGAAACCAGCACTAAACTCACAACAGATGC